ATAATATTTATTACTATGAGATTACGAAATATTGTAAATTCATTAAGTGTATTAAGTGTTTATCATATTTGCTGTTCACTTTTTCTGTGGTGTCATAACACAGTTAGGAACAATGGTCAAATCTTTTTGCTTACGGGCACCAGCTTCTTGTAAATCTTCCAACAAATCATCATCACATGTTTTTTCAACAACATTAATCGTTTTACGAATGATTATCTAAGGTTTTGAAAAATGGTCAAATGTTAAATAATTTTCTATAATTAATATGATAACAGAAGTATTAATACTAACCTTAGCTTTCCATGCCAAAACCAAACATTTAAGAGCCTTTTCAAATCGGTTAATATTGGTTGGTAATTGTAAGGTATCTGACCTTGTAATTCTGCAAGTATATCCGGCAGGAACATCCATGCGCAATAAAATCATATAGAAACCTGCATAAAAGTATTGTTAATATTTCGTGGCAAAATTTACCAAGATCATATCTAACTAAAAAAAATACCTACCAGCATGAATGAAACTAATTAGCTCAAATTGACGCAACGTATTTGTTTTCCATTCTACAAAATTGCCCAAGTCTACTATCATATCTTTAAGCATTTTCGGACTTTTTAACCCTCTTTCTTTAAGCAGTTTTGTTCCATTGTCCCCTTCATAATCCTTTCCTACTTCAGAAGCTACATATTCATGCGATCCTTTTCTTAAAATTAAATCACCTTTTCTTCCAATTGCTTTTTTAGTTGTTTTAACGACTCCTTGAATTACCCGCTTACTATTTTTGCGTTTTGAAGAAGCAATGCTACATGATTCACCTCTTGCAATATCTATTCCTCTCAATTCATTAAAACATCTATCGATAAATGACCATATATGAACATTATGCCATGCTTCCAAATGTTTTTGTTGCAATGTATCGGATTCAAATTCTAATAACAAATTGTATATACTATTCTTCACCCAGTCAAAATCAAAATGTTTTATTCTATCAAAATTTCTGCCTTCCCAATCTTGTCGTACATCAAGTGCTATGCGCAAATCTTTTGTTGTTTTCATTCGGAAGGAGCTAATATACTTTAATAATTCATTTGGCATTTCTGGAAGGTCTTTTGCTTCTGTATTA